TTTGATTTTTGTACTTGATTTATATGTTGATCCCACATTTCTCCTATTATTATTATTATTTTTATTTTTAATAAAATGCTGAAGTGGTAGGTAGATGCAAGATAAAGGTAGAAAACATAGTTTAGTGCTGTAAGAAGGCAAATGTAGATGATCAGATGATCAGGTGTGTGCCTATGGACTAAGTATTAATCCAGGCTAGACAAGGGCAGCAAGACATCCACGGATGCAGAAGATTTCTCTCAAAGCAGGGGGGGTGAGGTTCTGAGCCTCACCTCTGTTGATCCCCAAATTCTCACCTGATGGCCCCCCTGCGACTGTGCCTGTCTTAGGTTGTTCCTCCCTTGAGGAATCTTACCCGTCTCTGGCTAACCAGTCATCTTCCGGGGCCATACAGGGAAATGTAAAGTTGGTAAGTGAGAGAGAAGCCTTATTGTTTGAAAAGCTTAGCTTTTTACTTCTTTGCAGATTTATGCCCTGTGGCTGTCTTCAGTTCTTTTAGGTACACATTTAGGAGAGGAACTGCTGGGTTGTATAGTAATTCTGCGTTCAGTTATTAAGGAATCAATTCAGTACATTTCAGCTCAGTCACACGTGTAGTCATAGGCAGAGCTGGGGTTTGGACCCAGGCAGTCTGGCTGCAGAGCCCGTGCCCTGAGCTGTCACTGTGTTGCTTGTAGTGTCGCTTTTGTACAGTGTTAATAGCATCACTGTTCGTAGGCTGATTCTTTCCTTAGCTCTGACTTGGCATCACCATAGCTCTATATACTTGGAAGTCCATTATTTTTTGCCAGACTTTCTTCTGTTATCTTTAGACCTTTTGAAACTGGTGTCTTCCAGTCCTCCCCGATGTTGGGAGGAGGCATGGTGGTTGTCTGTTGTGACTAGATGGGTTCTGCTCTCCTGCCTGCTTTCCTCCCTCCACTCCTCCCTTGTCCTGTGCTTGCCTCTACCCTGATCTTTGAGGATGAAGGGAGAAGTAGAAGAGGAAAAATTCAATTCAGCCTTGTATTATGAGAGTTTATCATTTGCTAGAGACTGTTGCTTCAATGACATGCAAACTATGTGAAAAATATAAACTGTGCCTGATTCCCTGTGTGAATGACAAGATGTGGCAATTAATGGCCTTGTTTAAAGGGGAAAAAAATCAACCCTCAAATTGTAAACAGGATAGCATTTTTTTTTTAAATGCTCAGGCAGCTGAAGAGTTGGTCCTATCTGGTTTGCCAGTTGTTTTAAGACCTTCTCCCTTTTGTGGTTTCCTAGCTCGTGGAGCCCAGAGCATCCTTAATGATAGCCCTCCCCACGGTGAGGGTTCCCATTCTGAAGAGGAAGGCTTTGCTGTGGATGATGACGATTCTGATGGGGAGCCGAACACCTGGGAGCTGTTAGAAGGGGCACCTGGCTGCCCTCCCAAGGAACAGGCTGCTGACCTTTTCAGTGAGGACTGGGACTTGGAGTTGAAAGCAGATCAAGGAAATCCGTATGGTAGGTGTGGAGTTTCTGGGCAGGGATCTGAGACCATCCTACCAGATTACCCCTGAAGGCAGGCAGTGAGGAAGAGGGACCCACATCTGTGAGCTTAGCCTGATAATCTGTTACAGGTCTGAAATTTCTGTGACAGCTTCTCTTTCAAGTTGGAAAACAAAAATACAGATTTTACCTTTGACTCCCAAAATGTATCAGTTCATTTTAACATTAAAGCAATGTTACTCTCTCCGAATATCTCTGTGAATTGAGCAGCTGCAGGCAGAAGTGCTGTGTTACCCAGTTGCTTCCTCGGCACTGCTTTCTCTGTCTGAAAAGCAAAACCATGAGTTGCCTCAGAGGGAACAGGCTTGCCAGTTCTTCAAGGAGGGTTCTTGATGTGTGTTTTTAAACAAAGAAAATGCAGGTGTCTGCCCCCTAGACATTTTTTGGCTGTTTTCTGTTTTCACTTTCCCCCTTCCTTTAATCTGTTTTTGAAACCGCGTGCAGATGCTGATGACATCCAGGGTTGCATTTCTCAAGAGGTCAAACCTTGGGTGTCCTGTGCCCTGCAAGGAGACATGATCTATGACCCCAGCTGGCACCATCCACCGCCACTGATACCCCATTATTCCAAGATGGTCTTTGAAACAGGACAGTTTGATGATGCCGAAGACTGAGCGTGTGGCTTTTTTGCTTGGTGGGTGGGCGGACCCTGCAGATCAAGGTCTCTCTTCCTTTCTCTGAGGTGAGATGTCGTATCTGAGGAAATGTTCCCAGTGATCCCAGAGTCGGGTGCATAGACGGGTGTTGAGTACAAGGTCCTTTGTCCTCCGGTTCTGTTGTGTTGTTCCATTGAGCTCCTCCCTGGAATGTGTGAGTTTGTGTTTGTCAGGAGGAGGACTTGTGTTCTTTATAAATAAAGATAGAAAAAAATCAATATACTTTTGTCTACTCTTTTCCCCCCTTTTTATTAGCTACTTCTCAGCAAAGCCTTACTCCTTCATTTAAAGCCCCTGACTCGTATTTTAAGGATTGAACTACTTGGAGACTTAAAATTACTCTGTGTAAGAAAATAAATTTTTTATTTTGTTTCTCGAGGTCTGACACCGTAAGCCAGGGACTGGAATCCAAGAGATGTTGGTGACTTTGTGGCCAATTTCTATTCTTATTGATGGAAAAGTGAGCATTTACTTGGTTAATAAGGACTTTTCGTAGGCTGGAAAACTAAATGGTCAGTGAATTAATTCACCAATTGTCTAACCCTCAATTGGCATGACAGGATTTGAAGTTTTATTTTCCATTGACTCTCTTAATCCTTACCATTTCTTACATGGAGTCACTATTTTTTATTTTTTAATTTACTTCATTTTAGAGATAAGGAAAATGAGACTCAAAATGTTTTGACCTGCCCAAGACTGTGCATCTGAGAAATGGCAGGACTGGGACCTCCACCCACATGTGACTCTGAGGTCTGTTCCCCTGGCTGCACCCTGCGTGTGTCAGAGCCTCCGGGCAGGGTCTGTGGGCCCTGCCATGGCAGGTCTATGAAGCATCAGACTAGGTCACTTCTGCCACGTTGGCAGGCCAAGGGATTGCTTTTTACCTCCCAACCTCCTTATTGAAGCTGAATCAAGAAAAAGTTCCAGATCTGAAATCGGAGTCAACTCCCTAGCAGTCAGAACAACATTGAACCATTTAAACAGTTTTTCAGAGGCCCACACACAGAGTGTGTGAACAAGACAGAACCTTGGGCAGGAGGGCAGCGGCTCTGGCTGTGGGGGGCCTCATGACCAAGGCTGCATTAGAAAACCTGGGCCTCCCGCTGTTGCTGCTGATGCTGAAGGGCCAGTTGTAGAACATATCGTCACACTGCTCTTCGTTTCCTTCTCCTCCTGACGCCATAACTGATTAGACTGTTGTCTAATGAAAGTGAGCGTGCCTGGTGTGAGAAGCTGAGCCCAGAAGTGTTGGGGGCTTGAGGAGGATGGCATCTTTGCTGGTGGGAAAGGTGTTATTGACAGTGATCTTGGCCCACGTGTAAGCTGGAGTCCTGAGGGAGGATTTGGAGAGAGGGAAGAAAAATAACATGAAAGCCCCAGTGCATGAGCAGCTGAGCACAGCAAATCCACAAGGTTCTGCTGCTGTGATCCATGGAAGTTGGGAATCTAGGACTCTTGCTTTTAAGAAGGTCATCCTGGCGGTTCCTCTTCCTCCTGGTTATTTCCATCAAAGTGGGTAAGAGGGAAATAGGGTCTACTGAAACAAGGACACAGAGAATAATATTCTCTTAAAGTCATTAGAATGGCTTTTATGGCTGAAAGTTGGGCATATCAGAAGAACAAGAAAAGGGGGAGTTAGTCAATTATTTTGATTTAAATGTGGTGACTCCCTCTCCTCTCCCCACCGCCACCCTGATTCAAGCATAGAGAAAGATGTAGAAGGGTAACTCCCCAGGCTGTGAACCTCAGTTACCTCAAGGGGGTAAGTGGGAGTAAGGAAAAACAGTAGTGAAATGGAAAAATACTAATGATACAGTAAGTGAAAAGAGAGGTGATAAAACTACTCTGATAATACAAATATGAAAAATTGCATATGCAAGTGAGAAGGATTAATATGGACAAGAGTCACATAGTTGCCACTCATGCTGAATCTAAGAAAAAGAAGGTTTTAAGGAAGAGGGAGTGACCATCTTTTAGAGAGAGAGGCCAAATACGATGAAGACTGAAAAGGGTATTTTGGGATGTGCGAACTACAAAGTTCTCACATGATGTGGGGTAGGCGGAGGTGGCACAGGTGTTGCATGCTTCAAAGTTTAGGGGATGCGTGTGGCCACCTGAGCTGCTTGCTCCCTTGGGCACTCTTGCTTCTCTTGAGTGGGAGGCATGGTGACTTTTGGGCAGCTTCTCTCAGGATGTGTGAGGCAGGATAGGAGAGACAGGAGGGAATGGACCAAAGTGGACAGAGGCTGCTGGAGAAGTACAGGTACTAAGGGGCCATCAGGAGGGAAAAAAGAGAAACTCTGATATTTCTTTCAAATAGTATCATTAAGAAAGAAATAACAACTGACCACAGCAAAAATCTTGGGTGATGGGAAGGAGAGTCATGTGTTTATCAAGTGTGGCCGGGTGACGTTGGAGGCATGCACTTGTTTCTCTCGCCCTCTGCAGGCAAGCAGGCGATTGGGCCTCTGGCCCCCTTTTTGTCGCCTTAGTAGAAGCATGCAATGGGGTCAGAAGCAGCCAAGACATTTTTTTAGCTTTTATTTTACAAAGAGGGATTTTTTTCTTTCTGCCTTTTTTCTTTTTGTAAAGAGGCAAGGGGGCTTTGGGCCAACAGACTCTGTCTTGAAGAAATTTGGAGGAAAGGAATTTTCCCCTGCACCTCCACATCTCCTCCACCCCCCAACCACCAAATCCCCTGAGTGAGAAGATGGGGGGAGCGAGAAAGAGGAAATGTGACCTGGGTTGCTAAGAACAGATGGGATATGAGCCCTGCTTCCTGGTGTCCCTGGGAATTGGGTCTCTACAGAGTGATAGATGTTGGTGCTTCTAGGCAGTCAGGACCATCTTGCAAAAGATGCCCAGGCCTTGAGCATGCAGAGAACCTGAGGAACCCAAAGGGGCCAAGGGCCCATCCCCCATTTCCTTCAGTGAGGAAGAGAGGAGATCCCTATAAGGCCCAGATGGAAGCTCAGGGTTGGAAACTGTGATGGTCAGAGAGAATGGCCCCCAGGAACCCCAAAATGCAAGAGAAACAAAGTTAGCAGAAGCCTGGATGAGAACTAGTTACTGCTGGGAGCTGGGTCACAGATGATCAGCTAGGCAGAAATGGCGTAATCGCAGTGTCATGGGCTGATTAATACCAGACCACTGATAACTTTCTTTTAACCTGGATGAAAAACTTGCAATTTTCATACTGTGGCAGAACAAACAAAATTGTGCCATTCACAATTTGTATAGGCAATTTTGTGCATTTTTGACAGCTCCAGTGTGTTTCTGTCCATTGTGAGTTTCTTCCCTTTGGGAAATTCTGGGGCAATGTATGCTTTCACCCTGCCCCTAAGTTGGGGTGGCGCTGGGTTTACAGTGGGACAGTTTGGGCATCATGAAACCCCAGGAGGTATGGTGGGTGGTGCTTTTCCAAGTTCTGCTCTCAGGTTCCCTGGACGGCTGGGTGGGTTGGCCGTAGAGGCTGCAGAGACCACTATCTTTATGTACAGAAGCAACTGGCTGGACTCAACAAAGCTCCACAACCTTGAGGAAATCTGAGACTGCCTTCCAGGGAGATGGAAGCACACTCCTTGGCTAAGTAAATAGCTTGGCGGTGCACTGCCCTGGGTTTTCCAGAGTTTGCATTCTTGGGCTCAGGTTTTCACAGGATGGTTGGAATATGGAGAAAGATGGAAAAAAAAATGTGACTGTAGCCTATCCCTCCCAGTTCTCCCAGAGCAGATTCCCCACTCATGTTGTGTGTGTGTGTGTGTGTGTGTGTGTGTGTGTGTGTGTGTGTGTGTTGTGTGTGAGCATGGCAGGCAAGGGAGAAGAAGTTGGAAGGTGTAAAAGGAAGACAAGTGGCAGGGCTGGCTCCTACTCTGTTGACTTACTGAGCCTGGCTGCAAAGCTAAGGTCTTTGGAAAAAACAGCCTCTCTGCTCCTAGCAGTCTATTGAGCCGGTTCCGGGCCTGAGCTCCATCTCGCAGGTGTTTATGGGAAGGAGAACAGTTTGTTGCGTTCAGAGCACCAAGGTTTGGAGAATTGCACCAGGATTTGTACTTGATGATGGCCTGGAGAGTAAAACACAGCCATGGTTTCTGAAGAAGTTATGTCTTCCCACCTTAGAGGAGTCTCTGGTCCTCCTCTTTGAGCCAGAGAGAGAAATAGCCCCAGAAGGCTTGCTTCCCCTTTCTGACTGTTGCAAATGCAGTTGATTTCCCTTTTTCTCCCTCTTTTTTTGGTGAAGTGATTTTGATTTCAAAAGCAATTTCCTCTGACAATTACTCATTAGCTGTTGAACGAATGTGGCAGAAGTTAGAACCATGTGTTTAGCAACCCCAGGCAGGCGCCTATCTGTATTTCTTGACTGCTGTCTGTGGCCTTATTCTGTTTCTCCAGAAGGTGGCAGCAAAGACCCATTGACCCGCTGTCACCAGTGTGACCCAAGAGGATAGTGAGGGGCCCTTAGAGGAGGTGCTGAGCTGGCTCAAGTTGCCTTCTTGTGGCCCGAGAATTGGTGGGCAGGATTTATTCCTGATTGTATAGATGAGTTTTCTCAGAAAAAGTTACTGTGAAATCTAGGTATAAGTGTCATCATTGCTATTCCCCCAGACCCCACCGCAACACCTACTCCAGAGTCTGGTGCATACTAAGAGCTTAGTGCATGATTGTTGACTTTAAAGTGTGCATATGCACAAAGGGAAGTAAATGTATTGTGTTGCATCCCTCTGCCAGAGGACATGTGTATTTTTTTTCTTATGAAGTAAGGCTTGTAATTCTCATTTTACAAAAAGAGAAACTAAGGTTCAGAGAGGTGAGATAACTGGCCAAAGGTCACAAAGATAGGATGTGACCCAAGTCATCTGACTCCAAGCTTTTCGGGTTGTGTGATTGCTCTACTAAGTTGGGAATCATTTATATTTAGCAAAAGTCTAGGATGAATTTCGTTTCAGAAAAAGCAAGGTTTTTCGTCCCAGAAAAAGTGTTGTTTGATCTTTATTCATCAATTACTTCTGAACACCTGCTGTATACTGTGTACTCAGGCTGGAGAAGTGGTGGCCCTGCTTCCCGCTCTCAGGGGGCTTGGAGTCTAGGGGCAAGGTGCGCACACAAACAGACCATTGCAACACCACAGGAAAATGACAGAAGCTCTGGGTGCAGTGGGAACCCAGAAGAAGAGGTAGGAGGTCAGGGAGACCCTTGCAAAGGAGACAGCCTTGGAGCT